CCTGTTGATGACGTCAGCGACGCGGTTTAGTCGAGCGCGGTTTTGTGGTGGAACCAAAAGTCTGGGACAGAAAAACACAGAGAAGTTAAGAATTGGAAAACATGGTATTAAGAATGTGTGATAGGTAGGAATTGGATATGTATTTATATGATTAGAAATTATATAAAAGAAAGGATCAATGGATAGGGAATCCGACAGACTACACACACCTATGTAATGGATATAAAATGTTGTAAGATCTAATCACTATATGGAAAAGTTTATGCCAGAAATGTGACACTATGTCCAATGTTTTTAATGTTTATCTAATTAAAAAACTTTTTTTAAAAAAGGAAAGAAAATGGGCTCCCAAGCTCTGTTTTCGGCTGGAATGGCCTCCTCCAAAATTCTGCCGGGAAAAATGGAGGCCACAGCATTTAGCTGTTCCCTTCGTCTGACAACTCTGCGCATGCGCACCCTGGGAATAGGCTCCACCTGTTTGTCTGCTTCACTGATGTCTGACTCTGAAGGCAGCTGAAAACTGGCATGCGGCTCTGGCCCTCTCTCTGCCTCCGACACAGAGCCCTCAGCAGAGCCTTCCCCAGACTCCAGGATTGGGCCATGTTCCTCCCCAACCTCCTCACAGTCCGAATCTGCTGCCAGCTCTGCTGGCGGGCCACAACAGCGACCCTCTGTCAGGAAAAAACGCGGCCCTCCTGAGCTCCATTTTTGCTGGCAGAGGCACTGCGGACCGGTCCTTTGCTGTTTCCAGGGTGGCCCCGTGGGCCAGATCTAAGCACCCCGTGGGCTGGATCTGGCCCCTGGGCCTTGAGTTTGACACCCCTGTTTTAGAGGATGACATCCTGGGGTCTGTTCCTCTGCTTGCAAGCCTCCCTTGAAGCATCCAAGGTTACCTGTCCACTTCTTCTTTCATGTAGGTGGTGTAGCTGCTCCCATCATAGGACAACAGGAGACCTCCGTCACTTAGCCGGTGAACGTCAATCTCCACGCAGGAACCGTTCATGATGACAACGTAGGAGTTTGGGGACTGCCGAGCTACCTGTGAGAAAGGGAAGAGCAAGAAGTAAGGAGACATCTCAACTTTCGTAAGCGTTCTGACCGAGGCTTCCCCAACAGCACGAAGCCGAGTCCTCGTCCCAATAAACCCCTTTGATTTAATTTATAGTGAATTGCTCTCCAGCAAAGTCTTTCCTCTCCCACAGTCTTTCAAGATAATTCAGAATTCCCGACCTTTATCAGGATTGGAGAGTGGCCAGGCCGATATCTTTCAGATGCCACAATACTTGGCAAGAATGCAGGAATGAATTGTCTCCTGCAAACTCCACTCCCCTTTCGCTCCTGTTTTATTCCCAAGTCAACCCTTGTTCCTCAGCTGTTCCCTTCGTCTGGCAACTCTGTGCATGTGCACACTGGGAACAGGTTCCAGCTGTTCATCTGCTTCACTGATGTCTGACTCTGAAGACAGCTGATAACTGGCATATGGCTCTGGCCTCATATCTGCCTCTGACACAGAGTCCTCATCAGAGCCTTCCCCAGACTCCAGGAGTGGCCCATGTTCCTCCCCAACCTCCTCATTGTCTGAAATCTGCTGCCAGCTCTGCTGGCCGCTGGCAGGCCACAACATTTAGGATGACTCTGGGTGGCATCTCAGCTTACACCTGAGGAGGGAGCTTTCCTCCCAGCCCAAAGCAACTTTCCAAGAGATCATCATGCAGAGATGGCATTATGGCTAAACACTTCCTGCTCCTGGCCATTGTTTTGGTGGACTTCTATGGATAAAATCTCTAACCCTCACAAGCTTCTTCCAAAAAGCTTGATCTTCTTTGGGACAGCTCTTTCATACAAACTTGTTGTTAGGCCTGCAGCCATCTTTTCTTTCGTATCTTTGGCCTGCAATACTTTCTATTATTCTACTAGGCATTTTCTATGGTGGGAAAATGGGAAGGGGGTGATTGTATGGAGTTAGATGATATGTAGCCATAACAAAATTCTTTCTAGAAAGCCAAGGTCATCCTTTGTCTTTGCACCTCTGCACCTGGCCGAAGATGGATGGGTGGAACTGCCAGTGGAAGACTGGACCATGTGATGGACTGGTGGATGTGGGGCAGGATCTGGAACTTTCAACTGGGTGGGAAAAACCGGGAAGCCTTCACATTCGGGTTTTCCCAGATGTGCCAACATGGCTCTCTTAATAAATTGGAACTTTGAGGAATGCTTTGCCTCGGACTCTGATTTAATATTGGATGCTATTTGGAATGCTGACACTTGTTTCTTCTTCTTCTTGTGGCATACCCGTTATCAGACATTGGCAATCATATTGGTGCTCCTCGTTTGCTTCGTAAAAAGCAGGATTATATAAGGCAGTCCCCGACTTATGACTATAACTGAGCCCAGGATTTCTGTGGCTAACGCACACAGTTAATTGAGAGAGTCTTTCTCCGTTTTAACAGCCTTTCTTGGCACAGTTGTTAAGGTGATCACTGCAGTTGTCAAGTTAGTCACACATTGTTAAGTGAATCTGGCTTCCCCATTGACTTTGCTTGTCAGAAGATTACAATGGGAAAAATCGCATGACCCCGGGACACAGTCATTAAATAGGGGTCCTTTGCCAAGAATATGAATTTTGATCATGTGACTCTGGGGAATGTGGCGACGGTTGTAAGTGTGGAAAAAAGGTCATTAGTGCCACTTTTCAGTGCCATAGTAACTTCAAAGCATCACGAAATGAACTGTTGTAAGTCAAGCACTACCTGTACTCACTCTTATTACGGATTTGCAACGTAGGTTTCCTTTACCAATTGTTGTTAGAATTGACATGAACACAAAGTTCTCTGCTTCCCCTGCCACTCTCATCCCTAAGCAGAATAGCAAAGTGGGAAGGGGCTTTAGAGGCCTTCTAGTCCAACCCCCTTCCCAGGCAAGAAACTAATCGTCTCAGACAAATGGTTGTTCAATAGACACCCTTGACTGGGTATCTGGTGCTACATTACCTTTTTTTAAATATATATTTTATGTATACATTTTTTCTTTAGTAAACATAAAAACTCAGTATCTACTTGAACAGTGTGTTGTCTGGGTACAGTTAATTTTGAAAAATAATAGTAATAATGACAATAATATTCATAGCTTTGCTAATAATCAACTAATAAGAATAGGTAAAGGTACATATCCACTAGTCGTTCCCGACTCTAGGGGACAGTGCTCATCTCCATTTCAAAGCCGAAGAGCCAGTGCTGTCCGAAGACGTCTCCGTGGTCATGTGGCCGGCATGACTAAATGCCGAAGGTGCACGGAGCGCTGTTACCTTCCCACCAAAGGTGGTCCCTATTTTTCTACTTGCATTTTTTTATGTGCTTTCGAACTGCTAGGTTGGCAGAAGCTGGGACAAGTAACGGGAGGTCACTCCATTACACGCCGCCAGGGATTCGAACCACCAAACTGCCAACCTTTCTGATCGACAAGCTCAGCGTCTTAGCCACTGAGCCACTGCATCCCTTTTGAATAAGAAGAATATCTGCTTATCCATATTAATAAACCTTACCTTTAGTACATATTTCTTCCCTTCGTAGATGAGTTCCACGTCCACTATGTTCAACAATGTATGGGCAGGCAAGACTTGACCCCTGGAAGAGAAAAAAAAATTAATAACAGTACTCCATTTCCTGCCAATAGCTTTGCAAGGAAAGAGTTAGGCTTCTAACAAGGTAAGTGTCAGGCCTGCAGCCATCTTTTCTTTCGAATCTTTGGCCTGCCACACTTTCTATTATTCTACTATGCATTTTCTATGGTGGGAAAATGGGAGGGGGGGATTGTACGGAGTTAGATGCGATGTAGCCATAACAAAATTCTTTGTAGAAAGCCAAGGTCACCCTTTGTCTTTGCATCTCTGTACCTGACCGGAACTGCCAGCATGGCAGTGGGAGATTGGACCATGTGATGGACTTGTGGGCGTGGGGGCAAGATCTTGAACTTTCAACTGGGTAGGGAAAAATGGGAAGCTTTCAGATTTGGGTTTTCCCAGACGGGTGAACACGACTCTCTTAAGAAATTTGAACTTTTAGGAATCCTTTGCCCGGACTCTGATTTAATTTTGGATGCTATTTGGAACCCTGATGGTAAGGCTAAAAGGATGCAGGTCTCTACAGGACCTTCATTAATTATAGCACACAAAAGAGGACATCTTCTCCTCCAGGTTATCCTTGCTGAAGGAGGGGAAGTGGATCTCTAAAAGGGAAGAGCCTTTTGGGGAGGGGGGCTCACCCTTTAGGGGATTCCCTTCCCAGAGAGACTTGATTAGAAGCCAAATTAGCTGGGTAGAGACCTTCCTATTCCCCCAGGCTTTTAAAGTAAGTTTTAATTTGTATCATTTCAATCGCCACTCATTGGGTGAAAGAAAGTAGTCACCCAGGCAGCTTTCATGCCAAAGGCGAAACTAGAATTCACAATCTCCTAATGATCGGCCCAATGTCTCCCAACCAGCTTTCACCTCTAAGGCAGGACTAGAACTCCCAGTCTCCCAGTTTCTAGTCTGATGCCTTAACCATTACATCAAACTGGCTCTCAATCGGCCACTACTCTCCAGGAAATCAACCCTGTATGACTTTGTGAGTTGGACAAGCTTATGCCGAGGTGGCGCAGTGGTTAAATGCAGCACTGCAGGCTACTTCAGCTGACTGCAGTTCAGCAGTTCGTCTGTTCAAATCCCACTAGGCTCAGGGTTGACTCAGCCTTCCATCCTTCCGAGGTGGGTAAAATGAGGACCCGGATTGTTGTTGGGGGCAATATGCTGACTCTGTAAACCGCTTAGAGAGGGCTGAAAGCCCTATGAAGCGGTATATAAGTCTAACTATTGCTACTATTGCTTATATCTTCCCATCACCAATTCTGCAAGATCACTCAGAACACACTCAAGGAAAGAACACTAAAGATAAGGTGACGAAGACGAAGTTTTAAGAAATATCAGTGCTGAAAATATGATTTTTTACCTCTCCAGGGAGTGAAGAAAGTTGGAGATGCTATTCCGCAGGCTGACATCAGCCACGTGGAGGGCCCCACACACAACCCCCAGGATGGTGTCTGGTCTCTCTGCCTAGATGAAAAAGAAGGGGAAAGGCCATTTTCAAAAATTACTTCTTTATATTTATTAAATTAAGGATGAATCAGCCCATGGCTTAACCTTTAGTGTTGTTCTGAGCTCGGCTTCACCAAATCCCAAAGCAGACTCCTTGTCCTGACAAAACCCCTTTTATTAAGCTAATGTGAATTCCTCTCATTCACATTCAGCAAAGTCCCGGCAAACAGTCTTTCAAGGGTGAATTTACAACCACAGACCTTATCAGGCTTGGAGAGCTGCCAGGCCGATATCTTCCAAACGCAACGCTGTACAAGGAAATACTTGGCAAGGAGTCTCTGAGAGTCACAAACAAAACTTCACACTAATTAAATGAACTACTTGTCTCCTGCAAACTCCCCTCCCCTTTCGCTCCTCTTTATTCCCTATGGGAGGGGCCATTCACCGTCCACCTGTGCCTTTACCACCCCCCCAACTCGGACATTGTTCCTTAATTGTTCCCTTCTTCTGGCAGCTCTGCACATGTGCACATCGGGGACAGGTTCCAGCTGTTCTTCTGCCCCATTGATCTTCAACTCTGAAGGCAGCTGATAACTGGCATACGGCTCTGGCGCCCTTATCAGAGCCCTTATCAGAGTCTTCCCTAGACTCCAGGACTGGCCCAGGTTCCTCCCCAACCTCCTCACTGTCCGAATCTGCCACCAGCTCCGCTGGCTGCTATCGGGCCACAAGAAGTATCACCAATTGTCAACTTTTCAGTTTCCTTTAGAAAACAAGGGACTAAAATGAATGTTTTAAGCCCAATGGAATAGTTCCTTTAGCCATTCTTAGCTTCCAAGTTCTTTACCATTGTTTTATATTCTGTCAATATCTTTTTCTTAATCTGTTTTAACCAAATTTTTCACTACCTTCTTCCTCCTCGTGTGCCTCCTGTTTTATCTGGAGGCCTATTCAATCATCTGGAGAACTTTCTACGTTTCCAATGGCCAAACAGAATTGCCCAAGTGGACACCTTTAGAGAGTTCACCAGCATGTGATCCAAGGGGGTCCTTGGTGCTGTCTGCGCTTGGTGGTTTTCTTATAGAAGTTTTATTACCCAAATAGGCAACATCATCAATGCCTGTGATGTTACCTAATTGGGTAATAAAACATCTGCAAGAAAACAACTAAGGAACCCATGGTTCAACCCCAAACTACAAATGTTCTCTTCTGTTGGAACCACATAGAGGCATTAAATGCTTCAGAAAGCGTGCAGATAAGAGAAATTTTCAGGAATATTAACCCAGCACTGATGTTGTTACCTAGTTGGATAATGAAACATCTGCAATAAAACCACCAAGGACCCCATGGTTCAACCCCAAACTACAAATGTTCTCTTCTGTTGGTACCACATAGAGGCATTAAATGCTTCAGAAAGTGTGCAGATGAGAGAAATTTTCAGGAATATTAACCCAGCACTGATGTTGTTATCTAGTTGGATAATGAAACGTCTGCAATAAAACCACCAAGGACCCCATGGTTCAACCCCAAACTACAAATATTCTCTTCTGTTGGAACCACATAGAGGCATTAAATGCTTCAGAAAGCGTGCAGATGAGAGAAATTTTCAGGAATATTAACCCAGCACTGATGTTGTTACCTAGTTGGATAATGAAACATCTGCAATAAAACCACCAAGCTCAGAGAGCACCAAGGTGTCCACAATTCCCCTCTTCCTCCTCCTCCTCTTCCTCTCCACAAACCCCACACCCTTCTAGCACTGATGATGATACCTAGTTGGGTCATGAAACCTCTGCAATAAAACCACCAAGCTCATAAGAGCACCAAAATGTCCACAGTTCTCCTCCTCCTCCTCCTCCTCCTCCTCCTCCTCCT